AGAGCAAACGGGAAACATGGGAATACATGGTCGAAGGACTCAGCACTACCCAAGCCCCTGCTGGATGGGACCACCAGGAGAGCCCCCTTCGCTCTGGAGGGAGCAGCACCCCTGTGCTCCGTGGCCTCCTGCACCACAGCCCCAGATATCCTGTGCCTGACACTTGGGCCCTCGCTGCTCACGCTTCGCCAGGAACCCGGGTCGTTGGCAGATGTCAGCTGGGGACAGTGAGCGGGGTGTGAGTGAGACCAAGACTCCCACATGCACTCGGGGTGCAGCTTCCTGCTGTGTCTGGAGGATAGGGGCGGGGGCACGCGGGTCATCAGGTAGAGCCACATGTCGTTCCTGGCTTGAGCTAGCGTTGAACTTCGGGAAAGTGCTGGGTGAGCAGCTGGGTGAGCCAGGCTGGAGGCCTGTGCAGGTGAGGAGATCACTGGGCACCAGGGTCTAGGCCAGAGCCTCCTGGGGGTGGGGATGCAAGCCCCCCAGGCCCGCCTTCCTGCTCTCCCTCCGGCCCTGTCCTGTCCCCAAGAGGCAGAGTTCTCAGAACCGGGCTGTGCAGCCTCCACGGGGTCCAGTGGAGCTGGGCGGGGGCATTTCCACTCAGACTCGGTATGAAAGGCAGGTATTGCCACAGAGGCTGCCCACAGGCTCCTGGCACCTAGCAGCACAGGCGGGAGGCAGTAAGCAGGAGGCAGGACCCCAGCAATAGCCAGCAGGCCAGGCCTTCTCGAGAGCTCTTCTCAGAGGTGGGAGCACAGGGCAGATTAGAAACAGCCCTGAGAAGCTGCCATCTGCCTGCACATCACTGCTGCACTCAAAAGACAACAGCAAGAACAAAGGAAAGCCAAGCCCTGGCGAGCTCTGGAGGCCAGGGCGGGCGTGGTGTGAAGGCCGGGCACTCGCATGTCCATGGGCATCCGACTGAAACTTTCCAGGGCTCAGGGAATGGCCTGGGTTTCCTCCTTCGGGACGACGTGCAGGCCGAGAGTGTGCACACACAGCACAAGATGTATTCTTAGAGACACACGCACACGGACACAGCCTCCACGCAGCTGTGTGCCCCAGTGACACCTTTACCTTCAAAAGCCTTTGTTCTAGCCAGCACCCAGCCGTCCTTGCAGAGGGCCCTGTGCTCAAACGCGGTGGCCTCAGCTTCTCACACCTGGGCCGGCGCCGCTGGGGAGGTTTTGCCTTGCCGGAGACTCCCTCAGTGCCTGGGCAGGGCAGTGGTCTGCTCGGTGAGAAGAGGCTGCGCTGCCTTCCGCTTCTCTGCCTACTGGCAGAGCTCTGGGCTCGGGCGTCTGGGGTCCTGGCCACACTGGTGCCTGGGGCTGGCTGGGTCCTGCGTCCACGTGCTGCCGTCCCAGGAGCCTGCAGGCCCTCTGACCGTTGCTGTGCTTCTGCCCGCCAGATCTCCGAGGACCTGGGCAGTGAGAAGTTCTGTGTGGAAGCTGGCCAGGCAGGGGCCGGCAGCTGGCTGAAGTACATCCGCACGGCCTGCTCCTGCGACGACCAAAACCTCACCATGTGTCAGATCAACGAGCAGGTAGGTGCAGCCTGGACGCCGGCGTCTGCCCCTCAGTGTTGGCCCTGCGACATGGCGCCAATGTGAGGGGCTGCAGAGCCTCTGCCAGGGTCCTCTGCCAAGTGCCGCGCTGCCATGGGGGACCGCTTGACGCTTGGCCTGCCCTGGCTTTCCGGGGAGCTCAGCTACCTGGGACCACTCCGTAGAAGCCGTGGGGCAGCCACGCCGAGGCCCACAGAGCTTGCTGCTGAAAGATGATGCTTCTGAAAAGAAGCCCAGTTGGAGGCAGCAGGCGGGATCCCTGAGCCCCAGGCCAGCCTCCCCTGCAAATGCTGCTAGAGGTGAGGCGCGGAGCAAATGTGCCAGACCCCCGGCACAGGGCTCAGCCAGCAGGAGAGCCGCTCAGGGGTGTTCTTGCCCAGGCCAGGCTGGCACGCGGCCCCACTGCCTGGAGTCTCCAGGAGTAGGCAGGGCCTTGTCTCGGCACCGGGTCCCGGCCACTACAGCCCCCCAGGAGTCTCCCCAGCATGGGCTCTGAGTCCAGCTCAGGATCTGTTAGGACCAGGGCCCCCTTCCACCCTGTTCCCAGCTCCCAAGGCTCATGACCCCCACTGGCTCCCCGGCTCTAAGGCTTATCACAGCCCCCCAGGCTGCCCCAAGACATCTGACTCTGGAGGTCGGCCCCACTCTAGCCATGCCCCAGTGGTGGCTTTTACCCTGTGAACCCTGGGCTCTGGGTCCTTCTGGGATGCTGAGACCCGCAGCCCCTTCTGCTTTTTTTTTTTTTTTTCGGAACTAGGAATTAAACTCAGGCCCTTGTACTTGCCAGGCAAGTGCTTATTCTACTGAGCCATCTCCCCAGCCCCATTCCAGCCCCTTCTGGAGGGCTGTTTGATTTTGCCTATACCTTAGGGCTATGTGTGCGATTTTGTTCACAAGGAATGGATTTGCTTGCTATAAAGAATGTTTGAGAAGCATATGTCCCCAAGGCTCTGTCTGCAGGAGCCACAAAAGCTGCTAAGGGTAGCTGAAGCCTTTGACGTTAGAGAAATATTTGTCGTTTACAAGTTCCACAAATGAGCCCCAGAAAGCCCAGCTGTGCCTCCCACTTGGGACACGGGACACTGGCCCGCTCCGGGCAGGGCACAGATCTGCCTTCTGTGGGCTTCAGTTAGAACCAAAATTCTTGAGGAAAAAAAAAAAACCAAACTAACAAACAAAAACCACTTCTGGTTGAAAAATTAGACCACAGAAGAAGAATTAAAGGAAAAGGAAAAATTTAAACATTAAAGCAAAACTAAAAAAAAAAAAAAAAAAAACCAATAACAACAACAACAAAACCCTGCTTCCAAATAAATGCAAGTGAGCGCGCCAAATCCTAATCACTAGACTACCAGGGAGCGTCTCCAAACGCAAGTGAAATCCAGCAAAGGAATGAAGGTTGAAGGCACACAGTGCTCCGGAACAAAGCCTGCTGGGAGTCTGCGCTTGGCCTGCCTGAGCGGCCGGAACTACGGGAGGGCAGGCAGGGCCAACCAGGGCGGCCTCGGTGAGATGCAAGGCAAGGGGCGGACGAGGGGTTTTATTTAGGAAGTAAAAGCTCTGAGGCGTCTAAGCTAAGCCGAAGCAAGCAAGGAGGACGGCACCTTTGCGAGGCAAGCTTTTCAAACAGAAGTCACCTGCCCAGGAAAAGCCTGTCTTTGGGTGGGTGTAGCGGCAACAGGTTAAGCCTGCCTGAGCTGCGGCAAGACCTTCCCTCAGCAGGAGAGGGGAAGAGAGAAGTTTGTGGAAGTCTTTGTTTTCTTGTGGATGTTTTGGGGGAGCTTTTACTTGAGCCCCACCTGAGGTCCAACAGGCGGGGGGGGGGTGCCTTACAAGCTATCTGTGTGATGTCGGGACCGGAGGGTGGAAATCCCCGTGCCGGGAGGGCGAGAGGCAGCCCGGCTCCCGAGCTCCCTTCTGCTTGGCCCCATGTGTCCGCCATGGCCCACTCCGAGGGCCACACTTACAGAGGAGTGTGCGGCCTCTGGACTGTCACCTGCCGGCCCCTCTCCCTCACAGCCTTGTCGGTCACTCTCTCTGGTTTTGGCTCATGGACTCAGTGATGTCCCCCAAAGGAACTCGGGGTGCACATCTAAGCAAATGCAACCCCCGAAAGCTCCACAGCAGAGGGAAGGGCCTGAGCAGAGGGAGAGAGGAGCCCCACCCTGGGGGCAGCCCCTCACACCTGGCAGGACACAGGTACCTCCCCAGATGCCTGCCAGTGTCCCCTAGAGCTGCGCGTCTGAACCTGACAAAGCCACATGGCAGCAGCTTCTGAAGTCCAGGCAGAAGGGCGCAGAGGGGTGCAGGCCCCTCCGATCCAGCCCCACTCCCAGCTCAGAATTTCAGCTATCTGAGGAAACAGCAGTTCGCAGGATGTGTCTGTCTGCCTTCAAACAGTAACAGTCGTACTTTAATAACACGAGGAGCCGCTCTCAGAAGCCCACAGGCTCTCGGTGCCCAGCGGTTGCCAGAACAAAGTAGCTTTCAGAGCTGCCTTTCGGAAAGGGAATGGAGACAGGCTTGTGCTCCTTGCTCGGTGGCCTCCGGGAGGCAAGTGGCTCTCTCGGGACGGCCGCGGCCTCAGCACAAAGCACTTCCGCTTCCCGGTCCCGACCGGGCAGGCACACAAGCTGCTTTGACTCTCTGCGGGGCTAAATAAAAACTGTCCTCAAATACTACTAATAAAAAATATTTTTGAAGACAGAATTCTCTTTCCAAGACAGAGCTTCCTTGGAAAGGAAATATCATACGATATTAATGGGGTTTCTCAGATTTCTGGGATCCCAAGGGCTTCCGCAAGGATTTCCGGGTAGCTGTGGGCACCGCACACCCACCATGTGCACACACGTGCACAGACACACACAGGCTTGTACCTGCATGCACACACATGCATGTGCACACGTACGCACACGTGCGGGTGAGCAACCTGTCTCACACAAAGACACACTTCAGTGGACGAGCTCCGGCTCTCCTACGGCACGCCCGCACGCCCGCACACCGCCTCCGCTGCAGCACGGGCGCAGCGGCACAGGGTGGCGTCAGAGTATCGATGCACACAGAAAAGTGTTGACCTTGCCCAGGGTGTTCAGCAGGGAAAATCCTGAGCCAGAAAAGCCTGAGCCTGGATTTGAAGTCCGAGACCCATGAGCTCAGTTCCAGCTCCCCAGAGGGTGACAGGGCCAGAGAGACAGCTCTGTGGCACAGTGCCTGCCTGGCAAAGCAAGGTCCTGAGTTTGATTCTCAAAAAATAATTAAATAAATAAA